TTTTTCCCTTTTCTTTGTGAATTCCCCATTTTGCCCTTATGCACCGTTTTATTACAAATTGGGGCATTTTATTGAGGAATTTATATTTATATGAATCTTAAATTTAAATTCACTAGATAGATAGAATTTACTTATTATTTTAAGAACCTTAAAATGACTCATCTAATTTAATCGTTTGAAATTCTCTTTTAATTAGTAAAATAGTCGTGTATTACACGGACGTTGAGTTCAAAAATATATGATAAGTGTCAGAGCCGGCTTTTAGGGGGAGCAGGGTGAGCAACTGCTCAGGGCCCCCAATTAATTGGGGCCCAATATATAAATATGAAAATATTATATATATAAATAAAAAATATAATAATATATATCATTTATTTATTTTTTGTTAATATATTTATTACAGTTACTAATTCTTGTTTTTGTTGTATTTTGTGGGTACAAGAACATCTTATTTTAGTTGTATCGTTAAATATTTGTATTTTATTAATAAAATATTAAAAATATATTATTCAATATTGTAATTAGGGGGCCTAATTTTATTTTTCGCTCTGGGCCCAGAAAATGTTGGAGACAGCCCTGATAAGTGTTATTACTAAATAATTTCTTTATCTAAAAATTTTGATGGACTAACTGATGAAAAAAAAAATAGATGAATAATTAGGCTATGTTTGGTAAAACTAGCTGATAAATTAGCTTATAGCTTATCAGTAATTTTTTAGCTTATAGCTTATGACTTATAGCTGAAAACTAGTTTATATGATAAAAGTGTTTAGTAAAATCTATCTATATATAAAAAGGTTGTTGGATAAATCATTTTTAGAAACTTTTGACTAAAAAATAATACATTTGACATTCTAATTATAGAAAACTTGAAAATAATAAAAAACCCCAATTTAATATCACATTTTGAATTCAAAAATTTTTAGTGTAGAGAGATAAAAAGACACGAATTTAATATCACAATTTGAATTCAAAACTTTATGGTGTAGAGAGATTATAGGAATGTGTGGATAACCTGACCTAAAAGAGATAACTATGGTCATTATTTTTAACTAATCTCTTATTTTGATTTAATTTTATGAAAGGTAATCACATGCTCATTATACAATTCCATTCAATTTGGTTTCCTATATAAATGTCATTCGATAAATAACAATTTAAACAATACAATACAATAACATAAATAACAATTTAAATACTACAATACAAATACATGTTTTAATTTGATCCATACAAATATAAAAACCTCATAACATAAAACTTAAATTCTATTCCACTAAAAAAAAAAACATTATTATACAACTTTGATCAATAAATAAATTAATAAGCCATTGGATAGATAACAATTTAAATAATACAATACAATTACATGAATAATAATTAAAATACTACAATACAAATACATGTTTTAATCGGACATAACAAACATAAAAACCTCATAAAATAAAACTTAAATTCCACGCCACTTAAAAATACATTATTATACAACTTTGATCAATAAACAAAATAATAATTAATATATTAATCTATTAAATACTGCAAGTCTTTGTACACGAAAAAACATCTACACTGCTTAACCATCCAACTGATTAGGACTTAATTATTTTCTCATCATATTATTCAAACTCCTATTTTAATGGCTATCAATTATTATCTAATGGCTATCAATTATTATCAAACAACATTTAAAAAACACATGTTGACTAAAATTAGTTAAATTAAATAAAAAAACTTAATTATAGATAAATTATAGAAACTGAAATCTGTTACGAGAGATAGATTTAAACTTATTTATAGAGAAATTAATTTATTATCCAACTAATTTGCACTTATCTTATCATCCCACCAAAGTTTGAATTTATTAAAACTCATATTTCAATGGTTATTGTTGATACCCAATTTGGCTCCTATTAATTAAATGATAAACGAAATAATAAAATACGGCTTGATAACCGAGGAGCCGATAATACGAGATAAATAATATACAAACAGGTACACAAGATCGATCATCTAAAAGTCAACCGGATCCCAAGATGTTGAGTCCGCCCACTACCGAGCCGAATAGGATTTAAAGCCGCCTTCGATAGACGCCATAATGAAAAAAAGAGACAGACGCCAATCGGAACCGTCAAGGGTCATAAGCGGGTCCCACGAAAACCATATTATATTAAATAAAGGTGTACTATTTTTTATTGTCCAACTTGTAAAAAAAGGGGCCAATTAAATATAAATGGCCCTAACAAAAAAGGGGTCTTGTTCCCCATTCCTCTTCTCTCCCCAAAGAACTAAAAAGAGAGAGAAAAACACTCTCCAAAAAAATAAGAAATAAACACACATTTTATCGATTTACTCTTCATTTTACGTAACACAATTCGATTTATATTTGACGGTTGATCGTCCGATTTTTGACATCAACAGTTATCAACTATTATCTCATGCCTTTAAAATGAACACCCGAACGTCCATCACGTATCACAAAAAACTCACTCCCATTTGGACGTACAATCAGACAAGCAGAAAAATGGCAAAAGCATGGGGAAAAGGTATGCAAGAAAGCCTCCAAATGCTAAATCTGCCTTCTCACTGACATCTGGCTTATCCCTTTGATCCAAGACTGTGATCTATTGATTCAACCCTTGCACATCAAGCAAGTGACAAGGACCAACATGCCAATGCTCAAGTTAAGAGTGGTTCAGGATTTTCAAAGGACTAATGAATACTCATCCTATAAGAACATCCTTGAAATTGTCTTTCATGACATTGAGGTATAATTCACAATCAAATTAATTATTAATTCTTCTCATATTACACAATAATTTCTGATATTATCATTTTTTTTTTGTTTGCAGGGCGGTCGAATTACAAGAATAATAAGAGCAATAAACATCCCAACATTCATCAATGAATTCCAAGAAGGGGTTGTCTATGCATTCCGAAACTATCAGGTCGAGAATAACATTGGAATGTACAGATCCACCATTGCACAATACAGGCTTATCTTAAATGGTAGAACTGAAACATAAGCTACAATG